ATATATACATATTGTATATATATATATATACATATTGTATATAATATACATATATATATATATATACCTATATATATGTATATTATAAACATATATATAATTGTGATATACGTTTCGACTTAACTACAGTCTTTATCAGCAACCAACATTGACGATGAGTAGAATATGGAAAATTTTTGCGACACATTTTAAGATCAGTGTAAAATAACACAAATAATCTAAGCTCGGCTCGTAATTGTTAAGACAAATAATGAAAAGTAAAATTAAAAGACCGCAAATAACCAAATTTATGGCTGTTTTTAAAAAAATTAATATTTAAATGAAAACATGTAATGTTAAAAACATTAAAAAATTTAAATTTCTAATTACATAAGATGTACGTATATATAACTGCAGTACTAGTTATAACTTAACTACATGTTTCAAGTTTAGCATTTATTAAACTAAATTTTTAATTTTTTTTTACACTGGCATTAAAATGCGTCGCGAAAATTTTCTATATTATACTCATCATTAATGTTGGCAGGTGACGAAGACTTAAGTAGTTAAGTCTTTTTTAAGAAACTGGTACCGCAGTTATATGTATGTTATTGTACATCTTAGAATGTAATTAGAAATATACTTATTGGAACATCCAGAAATTTGCTCTGTTTTCGGCCTCCTAATTTGCACCTTACAACGTTCAAAAGCATGAATCTTTACCTTTAATTTGCGTACTCAATGAGCATTGTACGATTTTTTTTCACCGAGTTATTCAACATTGAAGTGAAAAGGATCATTTTTACTTCCATATTGAATAACTCGGTGAAAAAAAATCGCACAATGCTGATCGAGCACGCAAATTAAAGGTAAAAATTCACCCTTTCGAACGCTGCAAGTCGCATTTGTATGCGATTTTTATTGCACTCCATAGAACTTTGCAAACTTACTACAAAATTTTTAGATTTGATGAATCTCCATTTGCATTCGTGCAGCTTTGTAAAGAATCAGTAAGTCATTTAATGAATTATGGATTTCGAAAGAAGAGACTTCAAGCTGTAAAATGCTTTTTGGATCATTCTGTTACGATCGTTTTTGACGAAGTTATACTTTTTTGAAATTTGCCTATTTTTAGCGATCAGAATAGATGATCCTTTAATTTTGGAGAGGAGTGTATATACTTTATATAAAATAATTTATTGCTTACGACCGACTGTTGCTAAAAGAATAATTAAAAGCAGAGAAAATATGCGTTCCACCGAGATTGTTACCAAAAATCTTTGCAATTACAATACATCCTCATCAAATTTAGGCTACAGACTTCTATTGACTGAACTGGATTTAAAGTAAGTATATTATAATAAGTATATAATTTTTTTCTACGCATGTTTATTGATTGGATGTCCGATGAATCTAAAAATTAACTTGATTAACAAATTACATTTTATGAGAATTTCGATGACTTACGTCCAATGTCCACAACGCTGAGAAATTAGTCTCTCTCTGTCGGACATCTCGGACAGAGAGAGAATTGACCACATTTAAACAATTTTTCCATTTGATTAATGCGATTGATCAATTTTCTTTCCATCGAAGATCTCACACCAATTTCTAATATGATGAACAAAGCTTAAGAGTCAGCACATAAAATCTGTTCGTGTTGCTTGCACTACTTGCACTTAGAATTTTCGCTTTCTCTTTCGCAAATGCCAAAATATAAATTTATCTTGTTTAAGTAAAAATTGTTCAAGATTTGGTAGTATATTTTATACATACCTACTAAAAAGACACGTTAAATTAGAGAAACTATAAAAATAAAACGATTTACATAAAATATATAAGTATAAATTTTATTTTTGCATCTTTTCTTTATACAGCGATTCACATAGTTGGTAACGCGCTTCTCGTTTTATCATTGAATAAAATTGATATTGGAGAATAAGAATTAATGAATTTAAATTGAAGTAATAGGTTCTAAATTAATTAATATCATTTACATATTTTATTTTAAATTTTTAATATGTAAAACGTGCTACAAAAATATATTTTAATGTGAATTGTACATTTGTTTAATCAGAAAAAACACTATCATTTAGATTATATACCTAATTATAAAAATAATTAGTTTTAGAGTAATAATATTGGCATTTATATCAAGTATATCATATCAAGTCAAGTGATAAAGTATATGAAAGTCAGGCGATCGAATTGAGAATTATACTTTATATTATACTTCAGATATTTCTGATAAGAAAAGAATAAAAGGCATTTACTAATTCATTTAATTCACTAATTTTCTTACGTCGACTTAAAAATTTTTTAACACCAACGGAATGCAAATCATAAAAAGAGAGTTATTTAGTATTCAAAAATCGAACAACCCGAAATAGTCACAAATTTAAAAAATATAAAAAAAAGTTATCATTTATCGCACATAGAGTTTGAAGCAATTCAAAACTATACAAATGTATACCGTTTGTACATTATAGTTTTTAGATTTCCGAAAAATGACCAACATAAAAGTTGACTGACATAAATAGTGGTATTTTCTTTTTATTATATCGATATTATGATGATATTACTATTATTACCTTGTTGTTATTCTAAGTATTTACGCATGATACTGACGTTTTTATTTCTTTGCTGAAAGAAACTTATTATTAAATCAAACGGATTTAAAATATTTTCTACACAAAAGTATATACAGGGTATTCGCTACTCAATGGTACAGCGCTTGTGGGCAGGTAGAGAGGACCAAACTGAACAAAAAAGTCCTTTACCATTTTGCTATCTTCGCAATAATTTTCGAGATTTTAATATATAAAGCTTGTCGAATCTGAACGCGCGGCGAGATACGCCCCCCGCCACGGACCGCGGTCGCCTCACCCGCGCGCCTAGCGCGCGGCACGCGGGGGAGGTGAGTCGCGGCATTGATAAGCGTGCAATTACCTCTACCACGTGCCGCGCGCTAGGCGCGGGGGGGAGGCAATCGCGATTCGCGGCGGACGAGCGTATCTCGCCGCGCGTTCAGATTCGACGAGCTTTATATATTAATATCTCGAAAACTATTGCGAAGATCGCAAAATGGTAGAGGACTTTTTTGTTCAGTTTGGTCCACACTATCTGCCCACGAGCGCTGTACCATTGAGTACCAGACACCCTGTACATGTATATTTATCTCAGAGAAATCTGCTTATAATATCAACATTCGATATTAATATCAGAAAAATAGTAACGACGCATTATTAAACACCTAACTGTAATAGTAGAATCATTTATGACCAGAATCATTTATAAAATAACTTTTTCAATTTTAATTCAATTTAGATTTTGCTAAAAATAAAAGAGAGTCACCCATCAAGATATAATAAACCTTCATCTATGGCGCGATTCAAAGCAATTTTACACGCATCTGCCATATCATTGGCCGTGTCGACTACTTCTATTCTTCCTAGGTTCTGATCTCGGAGTCGTCGACACATATAGATTTTTTATTTGCTGCAGCTGACTTTGGCACCATCCCTGTCACCTTTACTCTTAATTGTGGGTTGATTCCAAAATAGAAGAGAGAATAAGCGAAGCTATCTGTTGAAATTGCTATCATGCCTCTATCTCTCTGTTTGCTAGATAGCTGTAGAAAAGTATAAACAACATCGCGATTCTTGATGCTGTCTCGATCCTTCATCAAGTAGATTTCGTAACCTGTATTTGTGTTTAAGGACGAACTCTGAAGCAACCATATTAAATTTGTTAAAGCTTATCGCTATGTAATTTCTTTATAAATATTTTGCAGTTTGCGTAGGTTACTGTCACATATATAATTTGCGTGAAACGCAGACAACTATCTTTTTAAGTAAATTGGGACAACACAAGGAAAATTAGCAAAGTACAAGAATAACACGCAGAATTGTTTCATTTAGTAACTTAAAGTAGTTCCGCAATTTGATTTGATTTAATGCATATAGTTTATTTCAATTTGCATTAAATTTCTTTTTGTTAAATATGTAAAATTGGAAGATATACACTTTCATATTTGTTATTTTCACTCATTTCTGTCTACTTATATTTAGATCTTGAAATCTACGAATTTCGAAATTAAGATAACAATTACATCTCATTATATTTGTATATTTCGTCAGTTTTTGAAAATTTTATTAAAAATTTGAAGTTAAAATAAATAAATTAAGAAAGTCTTATAATATTTATTAGTTTACTGAATGTGGCTTTTTGAATGTTATCAAGTATATGACAGTATGCCAAGTTGACTGTGTCGGCCGAACTGCACGCATTGTTTCTTCTGACCCGTCAACTTCTTGGAACCTTTTTCCAATACGGAATGCAAAATGAAATATTAGATTGACAATATAACATTTTTTCTGTTTCGCTGAATGTACGACGTGATGTACATCCGCATATCACAAATGTTACATTCGATATTTATTGGATTAATTCAAATGAGGGATAAATTTTTCCACTACTTTTAAAAACTGTTTTCTAATTACGATAAAACTGACAGAGATATTGCATTGATATATATTGTACACGAATGTATGAGCATTGAAACTATTATTAATTAAGTCTAAATTACACATTGGTATTGGGGTCGTGTGGTTTGACCGCGGCGAATTTGTCGCCTCATCGTGTCGGCCACATTATAAGAAAATAATCTAATATTCTTTCCTTCTGCTGCTATTCTTCTTATCTTTTGGCAATGGAAAAGAATATGAAAATAAAAAGTTGCTTGTATTCAAAGAGGATCACTCAACACGCAGTGACGAGAAAGTCAAGTCTGATTGAACTCTAGTCACAAATTAATCTTATCCTCGCAATGATTCGATGCTACTTGTCATCGGCAACTTTTGAACTTCGTTCTTTCCCGAACTTTCTGTTTGTTTCTTCTACGGTTTATGTATTAAGTTTATAAATTTTTTTGGAACCATGCCAATTTGATTTTATAAATAACGACAGGAATACAGAAACAGGT